CATTTCCCAGGTCTCGCTTCCATCAAGGGCGGCAAGGTCGAGACTAACGACGACTTTGACAACCTGTCCAAGCAGATCGCCAAGGCCACCCCCGTCGGTGTCAAGATGTCCGAGTACAAGCCCAGCAACACCGCCGCTGCCTCGTGCCCCAAGGTCACTTCTGGCAAGTGGGAGGCCGAGTCTGACCCCCTCCCACCTGTCGCCAACGCCAACCTCTGCTCGTGCATGATGGAGACTCTCAGCTGCCAAGTCGCCGATGACACCGAGGAGGAGGACTTCGGCAAGATGTTCGGCTTCATCTGCGGTGAGAAGGACGGCGAGTACTGCCAGGGTATCAACAAGAACGCCACTGCCGGCCCCTACGGTGTCTACGGCATGTGCTCCAGCCGCGAGCAGCTCTCTTTCGCTCTCAACGCCTACGCTAAGAAGGTCAGCGATGGCTGCGACTTCAAGGGTCAGGCGACTTCCAAGAAGGCTGTTGCCAGCCCCACCGCTTCCGGCTGCTCTTCCCTTCTCAAGGACGCCGGTGTCGATGGCACTGGCTCCGTCAAGGGCGCCGCTGCCAAGGCTACCGGTGCTTCCAGCTCTGGTGACGCATCTGGCTCCGGCAGTGCTGCCGCCGGTCTGTCCGCTCCCCAATTCACCAACGGTGCTTTCGGCATGGGTCTGTACGTTGTTGCTGCCGTTGCCTCAGGCATGGCTATGATCCTGTTGTAAGATATCGGTCAACTTTGTATTTATCTTGCATAGTTTGCGTGGGTTTGCGCTTATTCCCCTTGGGTTTACCGGCACCGTCTTTGACGAGTGGCCTGGAAGAGTAGTGTGGTTTTCTTTGGCTTAGGTGAAATTCTAATAGTTTTGCTGTACTGTTGTATGTATGGTGCGCAATGAAATGAGACCTTGAATTGTCTAAGTATGCTCGTTCTTCAGTTGTGAATGCATGTAATGTTGTGCAATAAGGACGACTTTGTGTAAACTAGATGGTAGCAGAGAAGTAGTCCTCCACAAGGTTCGATGAATCTGCATCTCCGAAATGCCAACGTGAATACTTGAGCATCGACACGCAGTGCAGCATAGAGTCATCTTACTCTGTCTCAACCATAAAACTTAAACTATTCCAAGACACCCTTACTCAATCTTCTTCGAAACTCACTTGTGTAGGTTATAGCCTGCCATGGCGACTACATTGATAAATCGCCCAAGCAAGATAAAGTGAAGCAACAACGTGTTTGACAAGAACTCATATCGCGGTAGGACTCCTTCTAACATGAACCATTCACTCGCACCGTTCAAGCCCGAGGCTAACGTTTTGAACTGGTCTAGGACGCCACAACATACAAAGCAAAGAACATCAATTGCATATCAAATACACGTGGTCAACTACGAACTAGCCATCAATATCTCTCCACCAGAAACGCCCTCCGCTCAATCTCACCCATTTCCCCCAACATCTTCGCCTCCTCACGCTTCATCTCCAGATACGCCCTCATGAACTTCTGGTCCAACGCCTCATTAAGCGGTCCATCCTCTCTCAGCGCCTCCACAGCCTCCTTCATGCTCCTAGGCATCTTCCTCGTCATACCAACCGTAGCGCGCATCTGCTCGTCCATGGTTGCAGGATTGGCCTGAATGTCCTGTTCTGGGAAGATAAGGTCGTTTGCAGCGAGACCGAGGAGGCCGGCGGCGAGAACGGCAGAAAGGGCGAAGTACATGTTTGCGAGGCCGTCAATACAACGGAGTTCCCAGCGGCCGGGGGAGATGCGCCGGAGTGGCGTTTCGCGGTTTTGAGTGCCCCATGCTACCTGTGTACGCGTGTCAGTATGCATGTATTTAGTTTTGAAGTGAGAAAAGGTGATTTACCCATGATCCGCCTGTCCAAGAGTTGTCTGCTACACGTCCATAGCTGACCTCCTCTGGCATGGTGAATGCGCAGATAGCAGGGAGATGTTTCAGCACGCCCCCGACGAAGAACTGCATGTCCCTCTCTGGCGGGTGCAAACTAACATGCGCGTGGGCAGCCGTGCCCATGCCCTCGAAGGGCTTGGGGTGCAGCGTTGCGCGCAGTCCATGCAGACTAGCTATCTGGGCAATTACCTGTCTGGCCTGGATAAGTGTGTCGATAGCGAGCAGAGGAGGATGAGGCGGAAGCACGAATTCGTACTGTCCCGGTCCGGATTCAGCATGGAATTGTTGCACTTCGATGCCCATTTCCTCGAGTGCGAGGACGATTTCGCTGAGGAAGGGGAGTTGCAGCCATTGTTCCGGTGTAAGGGTTCCCCACGCATGGGTCTTGGTCAAGGGTGAGTAGGGCTCAGTTTGGAAAGGGTTGGTGGAAGTGGAAGGGGGGTTTCGCGAGAGGAATGTGACTTCTATTTCGAAGCCGATGAGAAGGGATGTCGCGTAGTTGTATTGGAGGTCGTTGATTAGCGTTTCCAGGTTGTTTCGTGGGTCTTCTGGAAGGACAGATCCGTCTTCTGTGCGCCAGTAGCTGAGTACTGTTGCAGCGGGAAGGGGATCTTTGTTGTGGGTTACACGGAGGGAACGTAGATCGGGTTCGACGTAGACTTGGCCCGTGGTGTTTACAACTGGGGTAAGGCGATCGTTCTGAAGAGTGCCCGTGTTTCCCTGTGATATGCCAATGCGTTCTCCTTCGATTATCATGCGTGTAAACTCCTTGATGGGAACAATGCGACTACGGATAGTGGCCATGTAATCAAGCCATTGCACGTATATGAACTTCACTGTAGGGTTCCTTTCTCTAAAGTCTTCGAACAACTGAACGTCGTATACATGCGGCACCTTTGGCGGCGGGGGAAACGCCGGCTGCGTGTACGGAGACACTGACCGACTGCCTGGCGTGTTTGAAGCTGAGAATCGGTTGGGGATACTCATAGCAGGGGCTGGTGTCACTGCTGGAGACTGATAAGGTGAAGCCGCAGCAGGCTTTGGGTTGTAGGTAAGTTGTTTTGGATCCGCTTGTACTGTCTCATCGAATATAGCCTCGTAGCGCAGATCATACAGTACGTTGGAGTTGTTGAACATGATATCTTTCGTCATGCCAATAGCTTGGTGTGGGGTTATGTCGCCTTTTTGGATATACTCGCTGAGTAGCTGCAATTGTTAGCCTATAGGAATAGGCGTTTCGTCATCCCAGCGAACTCACCTGGAACCAAACTTCGCGAAACTGTAGATTGGCAAGCCAAAATGTCTCAGGGAACCAATGGCCATCAGATGAATATAACAGCTTGCTGCCAGGGACAAGCTCCATGGCTTGACGCAAGATCGCGGTCTGACCATCTCTACTGACCATTGGAAAGACCTCGCCGATGTCCAGGTACACATGTCGATATACGGTTGCGAGGTAGCCCGCTTCGCGCGTATATGGATACGCTGAATGAAGGAGTACGAACGGCACCTGGGGGTAGTTCTCGATCAATGGCTGCAGGAAGGCTGGGTTTGACTCAAGGAGGCTAATATCATTGTCTCCCAGGCCAGTATGTAGCTGAAATGGCTTCGCAAGAGAATCACCATGTGGCAATTGCTCGGACAGGATCTCCAGTGTGCGCAACACAAGATAGTCGTTCAGGTGCTTCTTTTCGATACGGTAGTTGCGTTTGCGAATGCAACTCTTGACGTAGCGCTCGAAAGGGTGTCCAACTGTCTTCGCAGCTTCTTCATACTCCGGTTCGATATCAAGACCCGTTCGGTAACAGATGACAGATTTGAATCCAGCAACGTTGTCATCTTCAACCGCGTCTTGAATCTCGCGCTCGAAGTCTTCAGTAAAATTCGTCCAGACCTGCGGTAGAAACTTGGTCTTTCCCAGATCGTCTTCTGATGCATCTCGTACAAGATTCTCCATCAAGCGCTCAGCGACCGTCTCGATGCGCACAATGCGCTTACTGGGTGCCTGGGTCCAACGATCATGGTCGTCGTAAGGGAAGACTTTCTCCGGCCCAGCGAGTCCATCATCGATGAGGAGTGCGTGCACATTTTCGAAGCATCGTTGATGCAATCGTTCGGAGTTGCTCCGGATCCACTCAACCCTCTGTTCCAGAATGTCCTCCCAGTCCGCGTCCTCACCACATTCGTAAAGTCGGCGTAGCTGTTTGGCGGCTCGTAAATGGGGCAGTGATTTGAAGGTGTCTCGCAAAGCTCTTCCTTGAGCTTCCGTGGTTATGGTTTCAAAGGGAATTGTATCGGCTTGGTGAGGTAAGATGAGGTTGTGGGCGTGATTGTCGATGATGGGGTAGTTGTTGACGACATGTCGTAGTTGTTCAATAGTAGGCCTAGGTGGGGATATAGTTCGGTCCATATCGACACAGGGCGCTAGCCGATCGCTTCAACTGTGAGAGTCGCTGTCTAAATGCTGTAAATTGGGCACTCTGATGCAATTGATGTCGCGTTTGCGTGGGGGAGAGACTGCTATGTATCGAGCGATGACGACAATCCGATGACGATCAATATAATATCACCAGAAAGAAGTCCCGAAAGTTGATGTCTTCGTGCTTTTGCGCATTACAGGCATGATCCAAGTCGAATGCGTTGTTCGTGAGGATGTGTTCCAAGGCCAGTCAGATGACGTCAGTGCAAGCGGAAATACGAAACCTCTGACTTCAAAGATTAGTACTCAGCGCATCGCATGATATCTGCATAGGATGTTGTCGTACTCAGCGTTGATCAGCGCGACAATGAAGGATGGGAGGAGGGGAGAATAGTGGCCCAATGAAAGTCATGACGAAGTGGGGCATATTTCCAAGGTTTTGATCTCGTGAGCATCAGCAGCCGACCTCCAACGATGTGCTTCCTACACTAACTGAATGGCTACTTTCATTATCTAAGCCGAAGTCTGATCTTCGTCAAATCCAAGTGCACAGGACATAACTGTGTAGTTTCGCGTTGGATGCCGCCAGAAGCACCAAGCGCATCTCCGTCGTCTGTAACAACGTGCTTTCTACGGGGTATATGTAATCAACTAGTCTTTTATTCCACAACAGCATCTAATCACCCTTGGGCCCCAACAGATTCAACTGTTTCAACCTTCCCACCATGGCCTTCGCACCCCGATCACCACCAGCAGCATCATGAACCTCCTTGGCATGCTTGATCAGGTCCCCTCTCCAGCGATGGAAAGCACCTTCAATCTGCCTTGCTACTGTTTCACCTTCAACCCTGGCAACGAGTTGGCACACCCAAATCAATGTCCTTGCACTGACGAACCTGTGCTCCATCATGGGCCGGATAATAGCAGCTCGGACTACAGCTTTGGTAAACAGAGGACCGATTGGCAGGGAATGCGACTCAAGATAGTTGTATAGTTGGTAGATGGAGCGCCAGGTTGCGTTATGTGAACGGGTAGTAGCGATAGAGTAATGATGAGCTAATTGATGGACAAGCGCCGTGCGCTGAGAGAACGGTATGTCAGCAGTGAGGTTGGCGTAGGCTGGCGGCAGCGCATGGTAGTCCGAGGCGCGGTCCAGAATTGCGACAAATTCCCGACGGGCCTGTAGAGTTTCCATCTCTTCTTGATCGCTGACAAGCGTAGTCGAGATCGCTGGTCCGGCGAATTTGTTAAGAGAATCGGAGATGTATTGGCATGCACGTAATGTGGAGGCGTGCTGTTCGCGCTCCTGGACTGTCTGCAGGTTTGGTTGCTGTCGGAGAGTGGGCAACTCAGCGGCGAGACGGGTTTGTATGGCCTCTATGTTATGTAGTGGAAATCGATACTTTTGTACAAGGTATTGAAATCGGCGCAGAGACCGAAGGCTGGCGTGGGATGTGAATGTATGGACAGCCATACTCATCATCGGCCCATACCGAACGGAAGCCGTCCGCATGTGCTTAAAGACCTTTATCACTTCGTCTTCAATTCTCAGTATGCCTTGCTGCTTCAGTGCAGAGGCCGCGTAGGCGTGTACGCACTGTAACCAACTGTCCTTGTACACACCATAGCCTGGCTGCTGTGCCATACGGAACGCGAGAGCATAGAGTAATAGAAGTGGCCGCTTAGTACCCGTACGTTCGCTCTTGAATACACCCTCAGCCACCTCGGTGAAGGCGATTTGTGTGTAGGTGCTATTGGAACGGGTTGCATCGAATCGGGCGTCAAGGTTTCCAAGGACTGTCATCCACGCACGCGCACAGTGCCAGTACGTCTCAGCCGACAATCGTGTCTTCCTGACGCCTTGTATGAGGGACAGAGTCACCGATGAAACTAGCGACTGGAGTCGTTCTTCAGGCAGGAAGAAAAGTATTTCCTCGACAGCGTGGAGATAATTGTGAGAAGCGCGTGCAATCATCAACATGATGACTTTTTCTGCGTTGTCGAAATCGGCCAGCAAAGAACGTATCGCCTTTCTCAAGTTCGAAGCCTCGATCTTGTCCGCAAGTAAGCAAAGATCGCCTACAGCACTTTGGCCGGCTTCAGTAACGTAGGAACAGCTGCGAAGGGCTGACCGGATCAGTGTGAGTAGTTGGGTATCCTGTAATGAGCTTGTTGAATCTGCAGCTGATGTAGCGGCTTCTATCATCTTGGAATATACGCGGCGGTGGACACGGGAGGCATGCGGTAGATACGCGCCGGACGTTTCCAGACACTTGAGGAGGTCGAGACTCTCGGGCGTGTACGTGGGAGGTAAATTGAAAAACTTGAGGCTGGAAAGGATGCGTGTGTGATCCCAGCGGTTTTCGGTCAGATGCTTGACTACCATGACGTTGTAGACCCAATCGATATTGGTGGCTGGGCGACATGATATCCAGCTCTGATGTAGTAATCGGCCCCGTTCGGTACTGGACATAATTCCAGCGTTTGCGATCTTTGTCTTGAAGTCGTCAAAATGCGCCTCAGGATCCAGCGCATCGACTGTGCATTCCCCTGATCTGCTCAGATGTTCCTGCGGTTTATCTTGCGAAGTATTCTGCGAAAAAGGGTATGGGGCACCGAATGTAGAAGCGGTAGGCGTCGAAGCTGTGTGCTCGGTGGATGTACGGTTGGGTTGCGTTATGGGCAAGCTTGGAACATGCTGAGCTGCTGTCGATATTAGCTGAGTGTATGTGGAGAATGCGCTGCGCAACGTACGCGAAGTCAATGGCTCTGCATGGGTTTGTAAAGACGGTGCTTCGTATCTCCAAGTGGGCGGATCATCTTTGCGGAAGCCAAAAAGCGCACCGAGATTGAACAGTGGCGCAAAGTTTCCCTGAGGGTAGAAGCCCGCTGAGACAGTCATTCGGCGCTTTGCTGCCCTCCTCCTGGCCTCCAATGGCCCCGGAACGTGGCTGCCATGGCGCTTCTGTTGCGGGCACGAACTGGGGAAAAATCGATTGAGGGCGCCGGTGAGGAGGTCGTCAGAGATCCATATGTGCTGGGAGGAGGAAGACTGGAGCGATTGCACTGCTCGGCGACAGGCAACGGGCGGACGGCGCATTAAGCGTGGCTGGTCATCGGAGGCCCTGGTGAAGCTTGGTTCGATGCTGAGCACGCGTCCCGATCGGGAAGTGGGAGATGCACGTGACGTGGGTGACTAAGCGCATCATCACGAAATCGGAGGGGCCTTGGAATCCGGTAGCACTGCAGTCCGGCGGCGACTTGGCGCGACTTGCTACAAACCTGGGGAATCTTGACACGAGCATGAATCTTAGGACGAGCTTGCACGATGCGGCTGCGTCCCGCTCGTGTCTCAGGTCACCCAAGCATTTTGACATATGTCTAACTCAGCCGTTGGAGGTTCTGTGTATGTGGCGCTGTATGGAGAGGCACAACGGTCACTGTTGAGATACTGGCCGCTTAATCACGATGCAGATGTCGTGCAAGTTGCTTTTTCTCGGGCCAGAGTGCGTGCAACCTCCGCTATGCTCACCTCACATTTTTAAACTTTCATCGCGATTGTGTCGGGCCGCGCATGTCTAGACTGTGGTGTTCGCATTTCGGATAGAGCGGACAACGGCTTCCATGCTCCAGATTCCGGATGTTAGTTAAATGAGATTCCACATGGGAGACGCGACTCGACCGTGGCCGCGTCCCACTCCCGCCTTCCACGATGGTAGGCAGTCCCAACAGCGCAGTAGTGGAGCGCGAGAACGTTCTCGACCTGGCATTCATCGCAAAAAAGCATCGTGCGCGTCCTGAGTATCGCAACGTCAGCGACACCCTCTGGCCGAGCGCTTGAGTCGCTTTAGTGCCTGACCGCGCGGTCCTGGGTTAGCCTGCGACCACCCCTGCCGCCCCCCGGCAAGCATGAAACAGCGTGCGACCAATGACGGCGCTGTTCCTGGCACTAGTGGGCCGGCGCCTTGCCCAGCTGGGCCGACGTCGTGACAGGCTGTCGCGCACACGAGGCCCTGGATGCATGCCGTGAAGGCAGGTGTGAAGACCGCGAGGATAGACTTTGGCGCAGGAGATGCGAGGGGAGCTGGAGGACGCGCTGCAATTTAGACGCATGCGCTGTCCAAAGTTACAGGGCGGGTGGGCTAAAGATGGCGGCAGTCAGACGCAGGCACAGGCTAATTGCCAAGGCTGGCTCCTGCTCCTGGCTGCATGCCTGCCTGTCCTAACTGGGGCGCACTCTCCTGTCCTCTCTTCACTGCGATCCACTCTCAGGGCCCGAGCCTCCTCTCGTTTGTCTGCTTCACGTTGTCAATCGTCGACACCCACAATCGTTTTATCGCATCACTACACTCTCTTTACCCAGAACCCATCTCCCGTCGATTCATTCCTTTTGCGTCACTCACCGGGGGTTCTCTCCAAGGGGCAGCCGACAAGTTTCATCGCCTCGACTTCTGCCACGACGCCCCCCGTTTCAACACCACCAGACGGCCCTGGGCATCGTTGATCGAGCCTCCAGTCCCAGTCCATCGCGCCTGTCGACGACTCCATCTCCGCCGCCCTCCCCATATCCACTCAGCCTTACATCCACGCCGAAGCCAACAACTCGCTCTCTCACCACTATCACCACCGCCGCCGACTCGGACCGCCCGACCTATCCACGCCCACAGGGCCTTGCATGTGTCGACGCCTCTGCATATAGCCCTCCGTGCGACACGCTGTCACCGCCGACCGACGCGCACCACTAACTAACCAAGCACATCACCACAATGGTCTACATCAGACTCGCCTCCGCCCTGGCCGCGGCCTCGATGGTCCTGATGGCCGCCGCGGAAGAGAAGCCGACGCCAACATGGGCGACCGTTACGGACCCTATCACCACACCAACAAAGACCCTAGGAGCAAGTGCCATGGTGAGCATCGGTTGCTTCGAGACCGGAATCCCACTCGAGAACCACGGCTCTTTCAACTTCCAGTCGCCTGGTAACTGTCAACTCGTTTGCATCGAGCAAAACAAGCCCGTTATGGGTCTGTCGAACGGCGAAGAATGCTGGTGTGGTGACGAGATTCCCGCCAAAGAATGGCAGATCAAGAACGAGACATGTGGCACCACGTGTAGCGGCGACAAGACATGGACCTGTAAGCTGACAACCTTCCCTTATTTCGCTCCCGACTGACAGCGCTTAGGTGGTGGAAAGGACAAATTATGGGTCGTTCTCACCGGAACAACTAGGAACCCAGTCGACTTTTACGAGCCCGAAGTAGAGAGCAGCAGCTCAGTAGCACCAAAGCCGTCGTCCGCTGCTCCGACATCAACCGGTGCCGCCCAGGCTTCGGCCACTCCATCTGCGGCGCCCGAAGAAGACAGCAAACCAAACACAATCGCCATCGCAGTGGGCGTAGTCGTCGGCATACTAGCCCTTGCCTCGATCATGTTCGGTGTATGGTTCTTGCTCCGCCGGAGACGTCAGCATCAAGCAGAAGAAGACTACCGTCGCAATGCCGCCAACGTAAATGCTTTCGTCAACGGCGGCAAGCTACACACCAGCAACTCGTCCATGAACGACTCGCGTCTGGACCCGAGCTTCGTCGACCGGAGGCAGAGCAACGGCAGTATTGCAGACAACGAGGACTACTCGAGGCGGATATTGAAGGTATGCGATCCACGATGCCGCCTGACGAAACGCCACTCACTGACACTCCATTAGGTTACCAACGTATAAGTGCCTCAAACAGGGCAATTGGCGCAACACGTGCGCTCTTCACGTCGACCCTCTCTCACGACTGGCGTCGCTGACGAACACCTCCATACCCTGACTACGCAACTACCTAATCTCCTTCACTACCATGTCTCGCACCACGGTGCGCGCAATCACGCTTTGACGACGAGAGTAAGAATCATCTTGCGATTTAGCCCGTTACTATTCAGTACACGACGGAACCACCATACCGTTGTGCAGACCAGCATTTGACGAGGATAAAGAAAGATTTGTGGCGGCTGCACCGAAGAATCTTTTCACCTCTCTTGTGTTATATCCAACCTTTTCTTGTTTCCTCAACTGGGCGTTTGTGGGGTGTTAGATACCGGGCAATTGAATGGGTCACTTATAACTCCATCCGGCGCACAAGAGCACCACGGTCGCTCTCTTGTCTTTGTTCTTTGTTTACGGACGGTAATTTCGTCCAAGCCATTCCTTTACCTGAGGGCATTAGTTCCTGTCCTGCCGCTCCCTATCCCCATGTGTGCTCCTCTTGCCTGTCGCCATGTAGCCACCCTGCCAACAAGCACCCCCCATTTTCTAGCTACTCTATCTACCACCTCCGCCAATCAAAATCAGTCACATTACATGATATATCTACTGTGACACTCGAAGCAGACTTGCAACTACTACTACAGACTTGGTGACTAACCGCAATTACGAGCATTATCCTCACAGCCACACAACCAACGTCATCAACATACCATGCTATTCAAGCTCTGTGCACCAGTTATTGCACATGGTTGTGTGTCACGCGAGCCCTCGCGATGCCCCAGCCTCCCCTAGCCACACTAGCCCAACATTTTCAGCCTCAGCCTTGCACATCACCATTAAAGCGCTGTACAACTACCACCAATGAACATACATCTCCCTCCCCCTCCCCATACTTTTGCGTCGATCACCCAGTTAATCACCACCCTTTTCGAGAAAGGCTCGAGGTCACGCGAATTGGGATTGAAACGCACCTACAACGCAGCGCAATGTTACCCAAGGCAAGATTGAAACCAAAGTGACCCAGACGAACTTGACCGCCTTTTTTCTCCGCACTTTGATGCGTGAAATTGCCTCGTGAAAGAGCCGACTCCGAGGTGCCCATAGTCCAAGTGGCTGGGTACGGCAAAAGGTGGGGAAAGACTTCGGCGATTTCAGCCTCCCTTCTTGTTTCACCACCCCTCCTCCGTCCTTGCTCGTTTCCCCTTCGCTGTCGCCGTGAGGCTGAGAGTGCGGACCCGTGATCTCCCCGAGGGTATCGACAAATTTCCCGACCAGAGAGGGAAAGAAGGGTCGGTTTGTCTTGATGTTTTGACATGCGTGCTTTTTTGTTCTCGCACTTGCTTTGGCCTTGCAACGGGGATTATGTGCGTTGGTGCGTTTGTTACATGTGCTGGGAAATGAAGGGCTTCGGCATTTGGAGAGCATGCGCGAAGGTCATGGCATCTGGGCGTTTGTGGGCTGAGAGTGAGGGTTCGTTATGCCGTTGATGCCGTTGCGGTTGATACTGACTCTCTCGTGCATATTGTGGCTCTCTTGTAAAGCCGAGGTGAGGATTCGGTGAGTTTTCTTTTTCCTTCGCTGCTTTGATGTGTCCTGGGGTCTGAAACAAAACTGAAGGCGCGGCGTTATGTGGTAGGCATTTTGGGAATTGGAAACGCGAATCCGAGCTTTCTAGATGTTTGGTATTGTTCGCTACCAGAAAGTTCGCTGGGTCGAAGCTAGGCCTGAAGTTGTACCCTGGAGGTGTTCGCTGGGATTTACGGTGACGGACTAGTACGGTAGACTATACTGTATGCTCCAAGACTTGCTATGGCTGAGAGTAGGGGAAGGAAAGCCCCGTTGTAGTCACAAGCGACGTTGACGACAGCTGAACCAGTGATGAAGGTTCCCGACAACGACACCATATATTGATGGCCTATTACAGACAAAGGGTTGTTTGGTGAGCTATCATTCGATGAGGTGAGTACAATCATAGAGCGTATACACCTTGTGTTGTCCAGTCAGGAAAGCTTTCATGTAGAGATTCGCTCATACGCAGAGCTTTGTTCGCTCTTCCTCATCTTATCCTAGGGCAGACAGCTAACTATCTAACCTTTTTTCGATGATGAAATAGACAGACTATGCGATATGGCTGTGCAAGGAGAACAGGTTGTTCAGCTCCTCGGCGGTATCGACATGCCGTCCAGACTTGATATGCCGGTGAAAAACACACGTCAAGTTTGCAGGAAGCGTCAAGGATGAAATACTAATCGTTTCACCACACCCCACTGCTCCCCCGAGCAACACCGTTCGTCACGAGTATAGCAAGACGCTCGACTTTTCTATGCTCGCCCTGCACGCGAAAGTCAGA